GCCACGTGGCTCTCCACGCGTATTGCGAATGACGCTAGAGACTACAGTTGTCCAGTTATGTGGTAGTTTAATGTGCTACAACTTCAATAATTTTTTTTTCAGAAACTATAAGGATTTTACAAATTTTTTTTTACAATATTGACTCCATTTCTCATGCCGCATCTATTCCCAAATTTTTTTGGATAAGTTGTGAATCACCCTGTATGTATAAGTATTAGTCCAGGCTGTATCGTTGCTCCAGCTAGGAACATGATTCTCATTCGATTTTTTTTATAATCTTACTAAAAAAAATGACCCTTGAAACATATCCGCATATTGCCAGACGTTACTAATGGTCAAAAATTGTTTAAACAATTTTTTTTAAACAGATTCGTAATTTTCGATTTTTTCGCTCGAAATACATTTTTGTAGGTTTTTTGGGGTATCCTGAACAAACAAGTTCATATGCAACTTTTCTCTAAAATCTACCGTTTTCGAGATATTAACGATTTTTTGTTCGAAAAAAACGCGATTTTAACCATTTTCGAGATTACGTCAGTAAACAGGAGCTTACAACAAAGAATTTTAATTATTTTTCAAGTTTTCTTTTAATAATCCGTATTAACTCCAAGAACAAAACCTATTACCTATCTAAAATACCCATTTTCTACTTTTAATGTCATACTACGTAATATTCTAATTCAAATTTCATATTATTAAAATTACCTACTACGGTACTGTTAGGTAGAAACTAAGTATTTTATTTCAATAATAAAAATTCTTTTAATCGAGCCCCGACAATTCCGCTTAATCTGAGAGAGTTAACAAGATTCTGTCTCGCTTGGTTCTCGACCACCATATCAAAGGCGCCAACACGGATCTTCGAGCTGTATATTATTAACCTGTGGTAATACTTCACAGCTTACCACTTTGACAACGTTGATATTTGCGAAAAGTGTGGCTGAATGTGTGAGAGAGACAGACAGTATCTCAATACATGCTGTCTCATTCTTAACATCAACGACGGGAGTCCTGCGGGAAACAAATTTCTTCCAAGGTCGCTAAAAGGAGTAGGTTGCCAACAAACTTTGGCCTTGAGCTGTCCAATTGTATTCCTGCGTTTTTAAGGCGGGAACACGTCATCAATGTTATAATTTGATTTCTATCATGTAACTCAATATTAGTTATTTTAATTATTAATCTGTCGTATTCCACCCTTCGAGCGAGCTTCAGGATTTCAGAACACCCCGTATAT